GGGGGGGGGGGGGGGGGTTGGCCAATTTTGGCTGGGGTTGCTCCTCACCCTCTGCCTGGGTCAGTGTCCCTGGGTGTCCAGGCTCCGGCTGTCCTGGCACGGAGAGCTTTGTCACCAGCCTCCAGGAGCTGTGGGGGGAAGATGAAACCCTGTTAGTCTGTGACAGGCTCTGCATCCCTCCTCTGCATCCCGCCGGAGCCTCTGCTGAGGCTCGGAGAGCTCGGAGAGCCCTTCGAGGAAGGGAGGCAGAGACCCCCCCAGCACAGCCCAGCAGCTCACGGGGAGGGAGAACCTCTGCGCAGAGGGAGAGAAACGCAAATAAAACATGACTTGTGTAAAAAATTTAGAAAAGCCTTTAGAGTGCCAGCTACGGACGCTGAAATGCTGTCTGCCGAGGTACGAGACCGGCAGCGATCAAGGATTTTCATGCATGGAAAAAAAAAAGTCAGTGCTGCTGCTCCTGCTTCACCCACGCACCCCCTCTGCCTGCAGCTGATTGCCCACCTGCACCCCCCACCCCGTCCTGCCCACGCCGTGCCACCTGGATCTAACTTTGAGTAAGGAAATGCATCCCGAGCATGCCTTGATGTGTAGATGCTGACCCTCAGATTGATGTATGGTGTCTGATGCATCACCACAGGCAGCCCCAGGCACTGGCATCTTGCTGTCCCCTCCAGCCCTCTGGGGCTGGGTCCCTATCCCGTGCTGGCTGGGGGGGTGTCAGCAGCCCCTCTGCCTCTCCCACCTCTGCCCTTTTGCTTCCCCTCACATACTCACTGATGCTGCTGCTGCTCCCCTCCTCTGGTCCGCGGGAGGATTTGTTTCCTAAATTGCATTTCGAGGAGACCCTTGTTGGGAGGTTGGCATGCTCATGTGGCAGCCAGCTCTCCAGAGAGCATGTGCACGGGGACGGGCAGCGAGGTAATGACTTTTTCCTCAAGCCTATCCTAATTAAATTTGCTGCAAACCTCTGTCCTCCCTGCCTGAAGGCTTTTAATTATTTTAAAACCATGATCCCCATACCTCTTTGCAGTTCCTTAGAGTTCTTCGCTGGGGCTTTGAGGGAGATAAATGAGGCTTGTTTTTACACTTTGCTAAAGGGCAGCTTTAACTTTATTTTAAGGTCAGGTGAGCCAGCCCAGACCTCAGCTGGACTGGGGAATTAGCCCAAATGAGGTGCAGGCAGAGGTGCTGCTGAGTCTCCCCTGCCTGTGCCTTTCCCTGGCCCTGCCTGCTCCGCTCTTCCCCCAGCACCTCCCCAGTGGATCCCACACTGCTCGCATTGAAGTCGAACCCTCAGATGTCAGGCTAAGTAAAACGGCTTTGAAATTTGTAAACTCATTTTTCCCATCACCGCTGAGCCTCCGCCAGGAGTTCCTTCACAAAAATCTGTCCTCTCACTCTTTATATTACAGGTAATTTTTAAAGATAGCTTATAAAACATTAATGAATGAGCTTTCATGAGCGTGCCAGCTATTCATAAGTTATAGATGGTTATATACCCATCAGCAGACACTGGTACAGATTCCTTTTAACCATGACATCTATTGAAAGCTGGTGCAATTGAAACCTCACTAATTACAGTAGGCATTTGTTAAATTCTTCAAAAATCTACTTACCTGCAGTGAGTATTCAGATATTTCAAATATTTCAAGCCCAGATGAAAAGCCAAAACCAGTGGTTTGGTTCGAATGGGACGTCTGGAAGGCTGTGATGCAGTTTGCAATATCAGTGGAGTTTTGATGTTTTGGATCTGACAGGTTGGGTTAGGGCTGGGACGGGTGTTTTCCCCACCACACCTCACCCTCCCATACTCTATGGAACTGAGTTTAAGCACTTTATTACCCTCATCGGGCTGAGCTCCCTGGCTTGACCACTTCTCCCGTGAGAGCAGGTATTGGTTTGCTAAAAAACCAGAGGCCAAGCAGCCTTGTGAGAGGTGGGATCCGATCCCCGGAGAAGCGAACCTCAAGCACTTGAAATGCAATTTCCCAGAGTGTTTGGTCATTGATGCCAATGCAAATTAATGTCAAAATTGCCCAAAATGGAATATTTCAATTAGCTGCCGCATCCTGAGTAGTATTGATTCAGCCTGACTAAAAATACCCATACTCTGTTCTCATTTTTTTCTCTTTTGCTAGAAAACACTTTTTGCTCTTTTTTTTAATCTTACAGAAGGTGGGTTTTCTGTTGGGATAACATTTTGATAGAAAACTCCAAGCCAGCTCTGCTACTTGACACCCTACTGACCCTTCACAGGATGTTTACAAATGGACCAGTAGTGTCAGGGGAAACTCATCTAACCAGATGGGATGCAGCAGGATTAAGCTTTGAACTCCTTAAATGATATTCCTCTTTCTGCTGTTTCCTATCCCCCGTTCCCCCCAATCACTTCCTTATGCATGCTTAAACCAGTGGCTGCACGCGTCAACTGGAGCAAGAGAAAATGAGACTGGGGAAGAGAAGGAAATGGGCAGAAGTCTTAGAAAGGAACAATTTAGGGGCTTCTGTTCCCCCAGCTGTGGGGAGTGGGATGCTGCTTCAGAAGGGCCATAGGTGTCCTCCCTGGTAATTGCAGCCACATCGTGCACTACCAGTGTTTCTCTAGTTTGCTCTATTCATCTAGGCACAGCTCCCCAGTCACTCATCTCTCCAGTTAGTGGCACAGCGCTGATTTGCCCGTCGGGGCTGCACCACTCCCAAGGGGCTCCTGGTGCCGCTGCTGAGGATCCCTCTGCTCCAGCATCCTTTTCTCCCCCTGCCTGGCTGGGCTTCCTCAGCCATCCTGCTGCCTGTCTTCATCTTCTTTTTTTTGGGCCTCGTTGGTGTCTCTCTTATTTCCTCTTGCAATCTCTGCATCTCTATAGATTTTTGTTTTGGTTTTCTGTTACTTAGTTTTCTGCCTTTCCACTTGTTTTGGTCCTAACAGCTGTTTCTGCTGGGGAAAGCTGTGCTTGGAACCACAGCACCTGTACTCTGTGTTGTCTGAAATCTCTTTTAGAGATAGCTAGTTTCAGAAGGATTCGCAGGCTCCTTTTTTGTTGATTGAAAGAGGGAGATGCAAAATGCAAATGTATTACTTGAGCCCCTTGGGCTTGCAAAACTGCATTTGAAGATTTTGTTTGGTGAGATGAGCTTTGTTTGAGAAATTTACTACTTCTTTCATTCCACCTGGGGCGGAAAATGACCTGAGGAAATCATCTTATTTGGGGGCTTCCAGGCTTCTTGCATTAAGCAGAGATAGGAATGTGAAAACTCATTTGGTTTTATAAACAGGGAAAGTTCAACAAAGTGTAGAAATGGTTCACAAAGAGTTTTAATGATGGACTTGGGCTTCAAGCCTGCTTTACTGAATTCCTGCTCTTCTGCCTCCCTTCCCTCTTCCCAGGAGCAGAGAACTTGGAAATAGCTTGATATGGTAAATAACTGGTATAATTTCTTCCATGCTGCTTATAAGAAGATACTGGCACTTGAATAACTGAGGTTCCCACAGCCTCTGTTCATAAAATGCCCTGTTTTAGGGGCAGGCGAGGGATACCCCATGAAAAAACGGCTCCTAAACTGCTACCTGTGGTCCTAAGCATGGGAAGGTGGGGAGGGGGCAGTGGGGATGCCTCAGCTTCCACGGTGAGGGCTGCCGTGGCAGAAGCCAGAGGGGAGTTGATTCAAGATGCCCCGTGGGGAGTCCTGCAAGGACTTATGCACAGGCACGTCCCATCCTGCAGTTCAGAGCCCACTGGGGCACAGGCTGGAGCGTGAGGCAGCATCCTTTCATTTCCAGTAACTGTTCAGAGCATGGGAAGAGTAGGTTTCTCTTCTGATTATGTTTTTTTTTCCTCTTCTTTCCCCCTCATGCCAGGCTTTCTCAGAAGCATGTTTCAGACGTTGTCGATGACAGCAAAGATAACATCACCATTTTCACCCGCATCCTGGACAGGCTGTTGGATGGATACGATAACCGCCTGAGACCTGGACTTGGAGGTCAGTTGGGTGGGGAGATGATGTTTTCTACAGCTGCATAGCTTTAGAAATGAGAGGCTGCACAGATGACTTATTAAAAAAGTCTGGAGCTGTTGGGAGGAGAGGCTGGTTCAGCGCCAGTCTGCTGCTGGTTTCCCCAATTTGAGTCTGTGCTATCTTGTTGTTTGATATCTTGTGAGATGAGAGGTGCGAGTCTCTGACTGCTGTCGTCTTCTATGACATTACATTGATAGGCCTGTAGATGGAGCAAATATGATTAAACTTATTTCTGCTATTTTTGTAGGCGTTACGGTTTCAGAAATGATGATCCTGCCAGTTTGCAGGACCTTCAGCTTGTGCTGGTGTTGCTTTTTAGTCCGTGGGCTTTGCTAGAGAGCCTCTATCTTGATATCTTCTCAGTTATTTCCTACCTAGCTGTCACCTAGCAATCTCTTCTCTGGGTCCCAGGCAATCAGCTGGGCCTTGCTGGCTCCTGAGCTGCTTTTAACACAGCTGCCACTAAAGCTCCTGCTGCTGAGTTTCCCTCCAAGCACCTACAGGTGTTTAGGGTGCTTTAGAAAGCCAAACCATGGTGGTCACCCTCCCTCTTGATGCTGATGGTGCACACTTAGCGTGATGTAAGGAGGCAGAAGCAACAGGGAGGTGCGTGGGGAAGACAGACGTGAGCTTTCTTGGCGAGATGAGGGAGACATGGGCCTGTGTGGTTTCTTGGTTCATTGCTGCCAGGGGGCATTGCTATGGCAGAGAAGGTGATCCCTCTCAGGTGCTGGCGACTGTGTGCCAGGGATGCTGCTGAGGTGATGTCCCTGAGCTCCTCTGAAGCTCAGCTGCAGAGGCGTGCTGCTGGACCATGATGCCCAACCAAAGCTGGAGACACCGTGTGCTCCCTGGTTCCCTCGAGGTCTACTGTTCCCTGATGCTAAGGGAGATTGGGAATGAGCTTTCCTGAGCTCTTGCATGCTGATGGGGGCTCTGGTGATATAATACTAGCCTGGAATTGCACCACCCATTCCTCAGAGCAGCCTTGTTGTCTCTTCTACCTCTGTACTGTGGCCATCTGTCCTGCACCCATCCAGGAGTACTTTGATGCAACATCTGGGGAAGAAGGGTTTCTCCCATGAGAATCCTCACCTCTGATGGGTGATGGGTCACGCTGCAGGGCCTGGACAAGAAAGGGTTACTGTGTCTGCATAAGCCATCCATCAGCTTTATTGCTTTTGTTGCTTGTTTCTTTCCCCCAGAATTAACTGCGGTCCCACTAATAGCTTTGCTTCCTCAAGCCTCCCCGATGGCTGTATTGATTTAACTGAAACGAGCTCTGAAAGGGGACTGAGGGGGCATTTATGTTCACTGTAGGCTTGGTTGCAGACAACCCCGTGCAAAGTATTAACAAGAGGACTCCCAGGAGCCCCTTGCTGGGGAAATTAAAACCTTTCCTGGAACATGTCTGCTCTGTTGCTTTAGATCCTTTAATAACGTGCTTAACATAATAAATTGCCAGTGCCTGAACCAGACCTTGCATGTGTAAAGACTGCTTTCACCTCTGATTTCCCCTCATGGAGCACTCTTATGGACCCAGATGGGAGGTTTTGATGAGGGCCACAGGTTTTGGTGGCTCTTGGCTGCAATGAGCTGTCCTCAGCGTGTGTGTTTTTGTGTATGGGCAGCTTGGTGAGTCACTTTTAGCTGGACCTGTTTTCTCCAAGTCTGGGCTTTTGTTCTTTGGAGCTCTGTTTTGGGTTTTTATCAGGAAGAGCATAAGAGGGAAAGACCTTCCACACTGCTGCTGGTGGCCAGAGAAGCAGGAAACAGCCCTGCTGCAGACTCCAGATTTAGGGGTTAATCTAACAGCCTGGGGTGACAGTCATCGAGAGATGGGCTCCTGCAGTCCAAGGCTATGTGAGATCTGTGAAAGGGATTGCTTTGCTTCAAATTATCAGCTGTGCTGCTGGGTGATTCGGTGACTTCCAAAGTACATTGCTTTTCCTGTGAGACAGCACTGGGCACTCCCTCTAGACCCAGCACTGTCTCTCCCCATTTCCCTCGGGAATATCTTCCACTTGTTTTTCTGAAGATGTCAGGTGAGAGCATCCATTAGCACCATGCTTTGGTGCCCGTGGAAAGGGCAGAGGTGGTGGTATTACACCCATGCACAGGCGAACGGAAAGATGGACTGGCCTAAATTGTGGGTAGCTGGGCAGCAGGACGTGCAGCCTCCTTTCTTGGCCTTGGTTTCCCTGCTCTGTATGAGACAGATCCTCCTGAAAAGACTGGTTTGGGACACGAAGGGCTGAGCCGGGGTGCAGGGCTGCAGCACCCCTTGGGGCTGGGTGCCTGTCCCCCGCGTTCCCCGGAGCCGTCCCCGTGTGCGCCGGGAACTGAGCAATGTTTGTTTGGGCTTTGGGAAAAGAGTCTGTGTAAGCAACAGAGTGTTGATGTGGCGACTTCTCCCCTCAAGATAGCCTCTTTGTATTTATTTTCTTATCCCCTCTGTTTTCACCATCTGCTGCCACCCACTCCAATAGCTCCCATGCCAGAGCTCCTCTTCCTACCAGGATGCTGCAGACACAAACTGAAGCAAACCAGCACCAAGGCTGCTCGGGAGCACCCAGTACAGAGCCAGGCTCCAGGAGAGGGTGGTCCTATGCCTTGCTGCTTCTCCTGCCCCCAGGAGGGTGGTTCAGGACATCCTCTCCAGCAAGGAGAGGTCATGATGTAGTCATGATGGCAAGCAGAGGTTTGTGAGCATACTGCAGACTAGCTTAGAAGATGAAAAGTGTGGGGCGAAGGTGGCCGTCAGAGCCCTCCTTCTGCAGGAATACCCCATAGCACTGGGGACACGACTGTTGGTGTCACAGAGAAGTCTTCTGTGGCTGGTAGGAAGTTCCTCTCTGTTTCTGCCAGGTGAGCTGGGGCTGGCTTGCTCTTAGGGACAGAGCTGCTGAGTCTTGTGTTTGGCCCCATGACCACTGAAGTACAGTCTGGACTTGGGGAAGGGGTAGCTGCAGAAATAGATCATATTATAGAATTCAAAATAGGGGAGGAGAGGAAGGAACTGTCAGCAGATAGCCTGTGTTTCCCCTGGGAAAACATAGGGCAGATTGGTTATTAAGTCAGAAGAGGAACAGAAATGGACCCCGAGGGGATGGAGACATCTGTTGTCATGGCCAACCTCGTAGGATAAGAAAATCTCCCACTGAGAGACTTTCTATGGACAGTGCTGGCCTCCGCTCCCGGGCCGGAGCTGTGCAATCACACGGATCCTCTGCCCGGCCCCGCGGGGGATGTGGTGAAGGGCATTTATTTGTAGCTCTCAGTTTCTCTTTGCTGGGGCTCCCTGTAGAGCTGAGAGTCTCTGTACTGGGAGGTCAGGGGAAGCCTGCACTCCAGAAAACTGTTGGCCTTTTCCAGGGGATGCTAAAGAGGAAAAGAATTTGCCCCAGGGAAGAGAAGGAAAGAGTAGGGTGTTCCATTTTCAAAAGGATGGCCTGTAAAGTTTCTAGATAAGCCAGTTTCTCCAATTGCAATTAAAAAGTAATTTGTACCACGTTAAGTAGCTAGGCTAGGATCGATCAATGTTATCCCTCCTGGATGCAGCATCACTTACAAGGTAACTCATGGTATTTCCTTCAAGCCTCTACCATGTGTCTCTGGAGCCCCTAAATAGCTGATTCAGCCCCGCTGAGCATCCTGCTGGTCTGTGTCTGCATGATGTGCTTCTGGACAGTTGAGAGCTGGGACCCTACTGATGTTTTCAGAGCATGGGGTTTACTGGGACCAGCAGACACAAGCAACTGGATTAAAGCAATGCAATTCCCTAGGCAGAACAAGGCTCTTGGCCTCTTTGGTTTCTTTTTCCTTGGGGATAGGTCATGGCACCCATTTCTTGTCCTCAGGGTTGGCAGCAAGTGGGTCCTATCCAGGCAGAGGAGAAGCCCCAGTTTGTACCTTCACAATTAGGTATATCTAGAGAGTGAAAGCAACCCAGGCTCATGGCTGCCTCCTCTTCCTCATCTCCACCAGGCAGCTCTTTGTGGCTTGATGTCAACATTTCCCTGGCTGTGTTGGGCTTGGTGTAGATGCCCTTGGGCTCAAGCAGGTTTTGGTGTGGTCAGGCTCTGCTGCTGGCAATAGGACTCAAATCAGGGATGCCCGACACGGCACTACGATGCCTTTTATCTGGCCTTACTGTGTCAGCTCTGCCCTGCTAATGGTTTTGATCTGTAGCTACCTGTTAATATTTATCTTGCCGATGTATTCCCTTTATTCTTTTGTAAGTGAAGTGCACCTTGGTTGGAGTTTTCCCCTTCTTTTCTTTCTGCGGTGTCGTGTTTCTTCCTGCTTTTTTTAATGAGGGTGTAGTTTGGCAGGATGGCTTCTGAGCAAACGAGAAACACCTGTATCCCTCTCTGGCCACCTGTGTTTCATTGATTCCAGTGCTGATGGCCAAAAGGTTTTGGACTTCGGTTCAGAGCGACTCCCTTTAGGTTCATTAGCATCTCATTCCTGTGAGATGCTTGGTGTGTTACACCTCAGTGCATCTGTCATTTTGTCCTGACCTCCTGCAGGTAAGGGCTTGTCTGTTATTATATCAGCATTAAGGCAGAGGGGCTGAAATAGTCAGAATAATTAAATTATGGAACTGCCTTCTCTGGGAAGTACAGTGTTCTTCAGTGAGGGCTCATCTGCCTGGCAAGATACGAGAACAAATCTGTTTGCAGTGCGAGTAACCTATAGTAGTAGTAGAAATTGTTAAATCGTCCAGATTGAAGTTTAGAGAACTTAAATTTCCTAAAATCTGGATGAAATGTTGAAATTATCCTTTTCTTCTGTAGACTGGTTGTGAAGCTGTGGGGAAGGGACCCTCACAAGCTCTCTGGGTGCACGTGAAGTCACAGGGTGCAGCAGCCCAGCTTTCAGTGGTGGGCAGGGGGGTGGAGGCAGGTCTGTGCTCTGCCTGACTGCTGTGGGGACACCGGAGAGGTGGTGGCAGAGTCCTA